ATGTTGCTTCTGCTCCTATCTACTCGTTCAAAACTTAGATACATATAGCTGTAAGGGAGGGAGGTCAGGGTCATCGTTAGCCACACAGAAGGGTGCTGTTCTAGTTTGCTTTTCTGTTGCTGTAATAAACACCATGACTAAAAGTAACTTAGGGGAGGAAAGGATTTATTTCAGCTTACACTTCAAGTCAGGTCATGAACTCAAATGAGAACCAGAGAGGAATGCTGCTTTCTGGCTTATGCTTAGCTAGCTTTCTATATAGCCCAGGACCACCTGCCTAGGGATGGTGCTACCCACAGAAGGCTGGGCACTCCCACATCAGTCATCAGTCGGGACAATCTCTCACAGACATGGCCAGTCTGATCTAGGAAATTCTTTAACTGAGGTTCCTTCTTCCCAAGTGACTCTAGGTTATATTGCTGATAATAAAAACTAACCAGGACAGATATGTTCTGATAAAACCTGGATCTTTTGTTACAGATGGAAGAAGGGAGGAATGGATTTAGGGAACCACAGAAATCTCTGTCGTAAGGATTTATTTTCCACTGTTGTAAATCCAAGCCTGATAATTCCAACGTCTTAGTTGTACCCGAGTCTGGTTATGATACTTGCCTGAGTCTTCAAACAGTGTTTTACCTGTGTCTTAGTTACGTCTCTCATCACTGTGATAAAATACCTGACAACAGCAACTTTAGGGAGGAGATGTTTACTCTGGCTCACAGTTCCAGAGGTCACAGTCCGTCATGGCACAGAAGAGTGGCCGTATGACTGAGGAAGTGTGCTGTGGAGCTCTTCCCATGGCGGCTGGATCAGGAAGCACAGAATGAGACTAGAAACAGGGCCAAAATATCACCCTCAAAGGATTACCTTCAGCGGCCTCTGTTGTCTACCAGCCAGGCCTCATCCCTTTTAAAAAAAAATTCAAATTGCATTTAAAAATTTTTTATTCAATTTTTATGATTTTCATGATACGATTTGATGGCATTTAGGTCCCCTCCCCTCCCTGCACTTCCCCTTACTGCCTCCCACACAATTTAATGTACTCTATTATGTATAGGAAGGCCTATAGAGTCTGATTTATGTCCCATTATGTCCTCCATTGTGACTCCGTCCTCTAGCAGGCTCTACCTCTTAAAGTTCTTCAGCCTCTCAAAGCAGCCACTGCCAGCTGATGTTCAAACACATGAGCCTGCGGGAGACATTTCAGATTCAAGCAATAACAGCCTTTTAACATGCTTCGTAATGTTTTCTGAAAGTTGCTTGTGATGTGCTGGGTGAAAGGAACTAAGGTGAGCAGGCAGTTGCTTCGAGGCTTGTGTTGGACTAGGCATTTGGCTGAGTTTGCTATCTCCTGCAGCTGTGGATGGCAAGGAAAATTTAAAATATGTGTTCAGTGTCTCGTGGTTTGAATGTGAACTGTCCTGTACAACCTCATGTGTTTGGATAGCTGGTTGCCAGTGGTGGCACTGTTTTATGGAGCTTGTCTGACAGACATGAGTCACTGGGAGTGGGCTTTGAAGAATCACAGCCTGTCACAGCTTTGGGTCCCAAATAAAGTTTTTCTTTTTCTCCACCACACCCCCCATTTCTTGCCATAGATGGGATCTCATGCATTGATGGCTGGCCTTAAACTCACTATGTAACTGAGGATGACATTGAATTTCTGACCTTCCTGCCTTCAACTTCCCGAGTGCTGGGATTGTAGATAGGCATGCATCATTATGCCCAGTTCATGAGGCGTTGGCGATCAAACCAGGGCTTTGTGCATGTTAGGCAAGTTCTCTATCAACTGAACTACATCCCCAGTTATCAAAAGTTTGAAACTAAATCTCTCTAGAGGGTGGGTGAAATGGCTCAGAGGGTAAAGGCACTTGCCATGCAACTTTGGAGATCTGAGTTCAGTTCCCAGAACCCATGTAAAGGTGGAGGAAGAGAAACAGCTCCACAAAATTGTCCTCTGACCTCTATACACATACATGACACGCATGTCCACATACATATCATGTATACATATCTCAACCATAATAAATAAATAGATAAGTCTAGACAAAACCCTTCTCCTCACCAAGCTGTCACCCTTTCATCACTTGGTGACTACTAAGATGTCTTCTATCTTTACTGAGTTGTGCACTGTGGACATTTTAGATAAAAGGGATCATGAGATATGTAACTTTTTAATGCCTAGTTTCTTTCTCTTAGCATAATGTTTTTGAGATTCATCTATGTCGTGTGTGTATAAGCACCCCATGCCTTCCTGTGGCCAAGTGATATCCCACAATATGCTTATTCCTTGGTTAATGGGCAGTTAGGCTCTATCTTTATGACAATGAATAATGAATGCTGTTACAAAAGCAGTGAACAAGTTTCTGTTTAGACACATCTCTCTTGAGCACCCCTTTGAATGGAATTGCTGGGTTGTATGAAAGTTCTGCCTAATGTTTTTGAGGAACCACCATGTTACTCTGTCTTCCGAGATGGCTCCACTGTTTTACCCATTGGCACAGCAGGTGGGCTCTCCTGTTCCTCCTTTTGCTTCAATAAACACGAATTGGTGTCTCACCGGAGTTTTAATTTTCATTTCTGAAAAGTCTAATGGCGTTGGTGCACTTGGTAGGTATTTGTCAGGTTTCTTTATGTTATTAAAATTACTAAAACTATTGAGGATCCCAAAAGGATTTTTAAATATAAATTTTTATCTAGCAAAATTTATCATCTTTAGAAACTAAAACCAAGGAAAATTTAAAATATCATTTATTAATTCTTTCATAAACAAGATAAACTCATTCATTATATGTTAATACCAGAGTGATGACATCATCACATCTCATATAGCTTCTAGAAAAT